AGGTATGCACCACCACATCAGGCTAATTTTTGTATTTCTAGTAGAGACAGGATTTCACTATCTTGGCCAAGCTGGTCTCAAACTCCTGGCCTCAGGTGATCTGCCCGCCTCAGCCTCCCAAAGTGCTGGGATTACAGGTAATTTGCCACTATGCCTGGCTGCCATTTCCTTTTTTTAGAGGTAGATAAGTAACATGATTCTTCAAAGAATTAGCTGGTCTCGCTCTCTTTAAGAAACTGTAGAAACAGATGTGTACTGTTTTTATTTCCAGATTTCATTATCCACAGTAAGTAGATTTCCACTGACTCCCTGAGATTTCCTAGATGGTAATTTTCACTCTGCAAGAAACCAGTAACCTTCAGAGAAATTATTTGAAAAGGCTACAGCACAGAAGGCACTGAATTTCAATCAATCATGTTTAATGAGTTCCTTCTCTGCAAGGCAATATTTTTGGAATAGTGGGGAACAAATATAAGTTGATGGGTGGTCCCTGCCCTCCTGTAGTTCATAATCTATTTGGGCAAACCAGTCAGGAACAGAAATAAATTGTTCAGAGGAAGATTCCCAATGAACTGAGTAGTCAGGGAAAGCTGAAATGAAATCTTGCTAGGTAATTAGGGAATTTGGCCAAAGGGGGCAGGAGGTGTCTGGAAAGAAGGACTTAGACAGACAATGTGCAAGGCATCATTGGAAAATACTGACCGAACACTTTTGGTTTATCTAAAAGTAGTAATGAAAGGGAAGGTTGAAAGGTGCATTTTGGTTCTGATGGAAGGCCTTGCAGATACAGCTTGATAGTTGGGGGATTTTTTTATGGAAATATGTAAAAATAATCTTTAGCTAGGTGCGGTGGTTCATGCCTGTAATCCTAGCACTTTGGGAGGCCAAGAAGGGTGGATCACCTGAGGTCAGGAGTTCGAGACCAGCCTAGCCAACATGGCTTAACCCTGTCTCTACTAAAAATACAAAAATTAGCTGGGCGTGGTGGCAGCCGCCTATAATCCTAGCTACTTGGGAGGCTGAAGCAGGAGAATTGCTTGAACAGAAGTTGCAGTGAGCCAAGATCATGCCACCACACTCCAGCCTGGGCAAAAGAGTGAGACTCCATTTCAAAAAAAAAAAAAAAAAAAAAAAAAAAAAAAAAAAAAAAAAAAAAAAAAAAAAAATATATATATATATATATATATATATGTGTGTGTGTGTGTGTGTATATATATATATATGTGTGTGTATATATATATATATACACACACACACATATATATTTAAAGGAAAAACTCCCAAGTAATTCCAACACTAATCTATCTCCATTATCTACTTCCAGGGTTAAATATTTTGTTATATAACCTGCTGTCTTTTGTAAGTGCCCTCACTATTAGCTAGCAGATCTGTGACTTACTCCAACTCTATTGATGGAAAGGTCTTGATACTCTTGGAGAGAATTCCCAGCACTTCCCTTTTGCTAATTAAGGTGTCCCCAAGTGCCCAACCCCTGGGTGATTACAAATGCAAAAGTGTTAAAAATAGTGCTGATACTCTAAGGAATCAGCTGCCAAATACTCTCTAATAAGCAGAAATTTCACATAACTCAGGCCTCTGGGGGCTCACACTTAAGCTGGAGCAAAGCCAGAAATGTCTGTGACCGCAGGTGCACTTGGACACATTGGGACCTGCCGAACAGCAAGCTGGCCTCTGCAGTTGATTTAGGAGAGGGCTGGAGGGTTGAGCTTTTGCTGACATTTGCAGCTTGGAAAATCCGACTCCACTAATTGCAAAAAGGATTCTGCTGTAATGATTTTATTTTATTTTTTGTAAGATACTTTTCTCATTTTGAATTCTTTCTTCGTCTGGGCTCTGGACACTTCCCAGCCTCTATATTTATTATTTTAACTTCTGTTACAGGAGGCTCTTCAGAAGTTTCTGCCTGCACATGATCGTGCATTCATCGAGTGGTGCGTGGGCACAGTTTACGAGCCTTAATGTGCACTTCATGAGCAAGCAAGTTTACAGCCCCTTTTATAGGAATTGGTACACATTCCCTCTGCTTGCCCCTGTCCCTGCCCACATGAAAACATGGGAATTTTTTGCTACTACTGTGGAAGAAAAGTTAGAGGACACTTTGACCTCATGATTTTGCTGAGAGCTTGCTTTCTTAATGGTGTGCTTTCTGGACTCTTAGTTTATTTTTTAATTATTTTTATTTTGTTGAGACAAAGTCTTACTCTGTCACCCAGGCTGGAGTGCAGTGGTGTGATCCTGGTTCACCACAACCTCCGCCTCCTAGGTTCAAGTGATGCCTCAGCCTCCCGAGTAGCTGAAATTACAAGCATGCACCACCACACCTGGCTAATTTTTTTTTTTTTTTTTTTTTTGTAATTTTAGTAGACGCGGGGTTTCACCATGTTGGTCAGGCTGGTCTCAGACTCCTGACCTCAAACGATCTGCCAGCCATAGCCTCCCAAAGTATTGAGATTATAGGCGTGAGCCACTGTGCCCAACTTGGACCTTATTTTTGAAGTTTGAGGGGTACTGTATAGTGAAAATAGCCCTGGATCTGGAGGCTGGGAGTCCTAAGTTGTCTCTGCCTCTTTCCTGTGGACTTTGGGCTGTGGTCTCTGGTCTTTGGCTCTCTGGCCCTCAGTTTTCTCAGTTCTTCTAGTCCATGAAGCTGGAAGAGCTGGGTGGATTGCATCACTCATATCTGGATTACAGCCACTCCAGGCTCTGCAGTGTGCACAGCAGTGGCTTATGGCCTTTGGTCATGGCACCTTCCTGCCAATTGGTTGAATCACAGGCTTCAAAAAAATACCTTAGAGACCAAATTTTGCATACAGTTTTTGGGAATGCGCATGTACACTTGCCCCAACAAAAGGCCATGGCCTGCAGGCTAAGAAAGTCAGATCTACAAAGTCAAGTCCAAACTCTTTGATGTTTTCACTTTTCATACTCATATCCTCCGATTTCCACTGACCCTATGCTCTGTTCATATTGGAATTCTGGCATCTTCCTCAGTAACCATCTGTGATGGCTGATTTTGTGTCACCTTGACTGGGCTAAGGGATGCCCAGGTAACTAGTAAAACATAACCTCTGGGTATATCTGTGTGGGTGTTTCAGGAAGAGATTAGCCTTTCCATGGTAGACTCTAAAGATCACCCTCACCAATGTGGGCAGGCAGCATCCAATCAGTTGAAGACTTGAATAGAACAAAAGGGCAGAGGAAGGAGGAATTCACCCTCTGCCTGAGCTGGGACATCCATCTTCTCCTGGGTCAGACTTTGGTGCACCTGGCTCTTGGGCCTTGGCACTGGGATGCGGACTTACATGTTCCCCCCCACTCCCACCCTCACCCTCTTCTCAAACTTGCTTTTTTCCCTTTCTTCCTAACATATTCTATCATGCACTCAAACTTTGTGTTTTGAGACAGGGTCTCGCTTTTTCACCCAGGCTGGAGTACACTGGCGTGATCTTGGCTCACTGCAACCTCCATCTCCTGGGTTCAAGCAATTCTCCTGCCTCAGCCTCCCTAGGAGCTGAAATTACAAGGGCCTGCCACCACACCCAGCTAATGTTTGTATTTTTAGTAGAGATGGAGTTTTCACCACATTGGCCAGGCTGCTCTCAAACTCCTGACCTCAAGTGATCCAACTGCCTCAGCCTCCCAAAGTGCTGGGATTACAGGCATGAGCCACCTCCATTGGCCCCCTTCTCAGACTTTCTTCCCTGTCTTTTTTTTTTTTTGAGGCGGATTTTCATTCTTGTTGCCCAGGCTGGAGTGCAGTGGTGCAATCTTGGCTCACTGCAACCTCCACCTCCCGGGTTCAAGCAATTATTCTGCCTCAGCCTCCTGAGTAGTTAGGATTATAGGTGCCTGCCACGCCTGGCTAATTTTTTGTATCTTTAATAGAGACCAGGTTTCACCATGTTGTCCGGGCTGATATAGAACTCTCGACCTCAGGCAATCCACCGCCTTGGCCTCCCAAAGTGCTGGGATGACAGGCGTGAGCCACTGTGCAGGGTCCGGACTTTCAGTCTCAGGTTTATACCACTGGTTCCCCTGGGCCTCAGACCTTTGGGCTTGGAAGTACACTGCCAACTTTCCTGGGCCTCCAATTTGCAGATGGCAGATCATGGGACTTCTCAGCATCCATAATCTCGTGACCAGTCCCTTATAATAATAATAAATTTATACATCTTTATATATCCTATTGATTTGTTTCTCTGAATCAATCTGCAAATATCCTAAGACACCATCATTCTGCAAATATCCTAAGACACCATTATTCTGCAAATATCCTTGAGGCCTGCCAATTGTGGCTTCAGGGTTTAAGAAGACATGGTTCCCTCTGGAATTACAGGCAATTAAAGTAGATTACAAAACATTGACAAAGGCTTGGATCATGCTGCTGGACCTTTGCTTGCGCTGTTCTCTCTGCTTGATCTATTCACCCTCCACTGTCACCTCTGTGAAGCTAACCCCAGGCCTAATAAAATGTTCCTTTTATACTGTTCTGGGGACGTTTTCTGTATGTCATTTAACCACGCAGTATCACACCTAGTTGGTTGGTTCTGCATTTTCCTTCCCCACTAGACCGCAAACTCTCAGCTGTTGCTGGTACTACTGTGCTTATCTACAGGGCCTCAAAAGAAGCCGGAGTCCCTGGCTGAGCGCTCAATACACAGGGTGCGAACCAATCAGTGCAAGAATGAACGTGCCACCGGGTCTTGCAGGCTTGCAAAGTGCTTCTCCAAGCTGATTTTGCTTTTCGTGCCCAGGCAGCTCCCGTGAATTGCACGGTAGAGGTCAATAGCTTCTGGGGGTCCGTGGGGAGCCAATGGAAGGAGGATGAGAAATGCAGTCCCACCGCACTCGGGCTGCCCACGTCCGGCGAGAGGCGAGGGATCGGACAACTTCTGCACCTCCCGGAAGCGGCTGTGCCCGCCCCGCCCCTCGGGAGGTGGGCGTGGCCGCATGAATAATAAATCGCGCCGGGGAGGGGCCGGGCCCGCCCCTCCGGGCGGGAAGAGGGAAGCGCCGAAGCCGCCTGACTGGAATGAGGGTAGCTGTGGCGACTGCGGCGGCTGGAGCGGGGCCGGCCATGGCGGTGTGGACGCGGGCCACCAAAGCTGGGCTGGTGGAGCTACTCCTGAGGGAGCGCTGGGTCCGAGTGGTGGCGGAGCTGAGCGGGGAGAGCCTGAGCCTGACTGGCGACGGCGCCGCGGCCGAGCTGGAACCCGCTCTGGGACCCGCGGCGGCCGCCTTCAACGGCCTCCCGAACGGCGGCGGCGCCGTCGACTCGCTGCCCGGGAGCCCGAGCCGCGGCCTGGGGCCCCCGAGCCCACCGGCGCCGCCTCGGGGCCCCGCGGGTGAGGCGGGCGCGTCGCCGCCCGTGCGCCGTGTGCGGGTGGTGAAGCAAGAGGCGGGCGGCCTGGGCATCAGCATCAAGGGCGGCCGCGAGAACCGGATGCCGATCCTCATCTCCAAGATCTTCCCGGGTCTGGCCGCCGACCAGAGCCGGGCGCTGCGGCTGGGCGACGCCATCCTGTCGGTGAACGGCACCGACCTGCGCCAGGCCACCCACGACCAGGCCGTGCAGGCGCTGAAGCGCGCGGGCAAGGAGGTGCTGCTGGAGGGTGAGTGGGGCCGGCCGGCCGGGCGGGAGGGTGGGCGGGCCGCGGCGGCCTGGGCTCGCGGGAGCTCACTTTGTTCCTGCCCTGCCGGCGGGTGAGCCGGTTCTCTCCCCGTCTCCTCCCAAACCGGGGTTTCTGGAGCTTTGAGTGTGGAAAAACGGATGCTTCTTGCAGAAAAAGTTGGGCAGCCGCCGAAGTGTGGCTTGCAGCCCCTAAGGGAGACTCGGCTGAGATTGGGCAAAAAGCAGCTGCCTATGAAGCTCCCCCTCGGCGGGATAAGCTGACACTAAGAACTAGAGGGAGAGCGAACAGCTCGAGTGGGTCTGTCTCCGTTTGCCCGCTGAGAAGTGCCGGGTTGGCGCTTAACTCACTCACCTCTGGCTCCTACGGGCTGGCAGGTCTATTAAAAAAAAAAGTCCAACACCGATGCCAGCGGTATACTTGGGCAAACCACCAAAGCGCTGGTTAATTTATGGGAATTTAACCCATCATTGGCTCTCAGCGATAACCAAAGGAGATCATAGCACTTCATTGAAGCCAGAAAGCTGAAACAGCAAGTCTGTGTGGTTAATGAACCTTGTTTAACAGTGGAGGATCACGTGTTTGAACATTTACTGCCAACTAGAGTTTTGCCCCTTTTGCAAGAGTCTGCTGCCAGCTTCCTACCACTCACAGGCTTGCTGCTTCAAGACTATTAGGGTTTTTGTAAGAAACTTGAAATGGTAAATCACAAGATAAGTTTCAATAACCAGGATTATTCTTTACATTAAGTTATATATGTGATTTGTAAGTTGGATCTTTTATGATGAATTTGAAGTAAGGCAAAAATAAAATTCCTCGCCTTTAAGGACTCATGCATGTTGGAGGTGATAGAGTAAATTGTAAACGAAAAGTCAGTTGCTTTCTTTAGAAATTTTTGAGAGGTCAGCTTTCTTTCACTGGTGATTATTGCTAGCTGTATTGAAAAGAATATGAAAGAAGATGCTGTCCCTTCTTGGTCTCTTGTTGGAGAAATGATAGAAAAATGCAAAACAACTTATAGGAAGGAAGGGGATGAAGTTGGTGATTATGTCGTGCAAACTATATTTAAGTCCCAAAGGAATGCAAAGTAAGAAAGTAGTTAGTGGAGATGGAATTAGGCAGGTAGGACTTTTTCCCTGAACTGAATCTTGAGCCAGGTCTCCAAGGAAGTGATGGACATAGGCAGGCAGGGATGAGTCAGGAGAGTATTCCTGGCAGAGGAAGAACAGAAGGGAAGGGCTAGGGACTGCTGGTGAGGAAGGACCAATCATCAAACCGAGAGGCCAGAACTCCAACTTGGCACAATAATTTTCAGTTTCTTATAAATCAGCTTGTGAATATTTGGAAAAATACTGGTTTATCAGAAATGATTTTATGTACACCAGTTGTGAAATTCGTGTCCTGCCTTTATAATATCCTATTTATAAACCTTGTTTATATTGGATGTCTAGGTGGGGCTAGACACTGCTCGGAAATTTAGTGTTAATAGAAGGAGTAAAATTATAGATTGTGGTTTGGGTGTGTCTAAAAAAATTGTTACTTTAAATGTGTATCTTGACATTGGTCTAGCTAAGCATTTCGTTATAAATTCTTATATCCAGAATATTGAATTTAGTACTAGTTATGTAGTCCTCTGTTGAACCCTTTACACCATATTTTTAGAAAACAACACTTTTTGGCCAGGTGAGGTGGCTCATGCCTATAATTCCAGCACTTAGGGAGGCCGAGGCAGGTGGATCACCTGAGGTTAGGAGAACACAGCGAAACCTCGTCTCTACTAAAAATACAAAAATTAGCTGTGGGTGGTGGTGCACGTCTGTAATCCCAGCTACTAGGGAGGCCGAGACAGGAGAATTGTTTGAACCCATAAGGCGGAGGTTGCAGTGATCTGAGATAGCACCACTGTACTCCAGCCTGGGTGACAGAGCAAGACTACATCTCAGAAACAAACAGAAAACCCACTTTTTGTGTAGGTATAGTTTGAACCTAGTATTCAGACCAGTAAAATGAAAACCTTGTAGTAAATGCTTCCCAGTATTTGTTACACTAAATAGGCCATGTATGCTTTTAGAAAGATGGCAGCATAATAACATTTATTGAATGCCTTTTTACCAAACACAGGTTCTACTTTATTTTCCTACTTTGTATAAGACAAGCAGTTTTTGTCCTGATAAGTTGTGAGGAAGTCAATAAAGTAAATTTATGACGTTGCATTTTCAAGCCACTGGTTGTAAAAATAAAATTACTCAAAATATGTAAAAACCACTGAAAACAATGATTTAATTGAACCAGTCAAACATTATTCAAAATTGAGAGCTGGTGTCCCATCCGGGTAGACTACTTTTAAGCAATAGATTTTAAGTTTAGTCTTTAAAGTTTTCAAGCTGTACTGGGTTGTCCTTCCATTAGATGTCTAAAAACTTGAAAAACTGCCATATCATTGCACAACGATGCTTTTTTGTGGTGTGGGCAGGGAATTTCAGGCATGCTCTTGCCAACCCCACACCAGGGAAAGCTATAGTCTTTGGTTGCCTGTGGTTAGGGAATTGAGCTAAAAGTTTCCTTTTTATCTCAGGGATTTGCAGGAATTATTCCCTCATTCATCAGATATTTACTTAACTCTTACCTTGTGCCAGAGGCACTTGAAGACACCTGATTCCTGCCCTCAGGAAGTTTAGAGTTGAGATGGGGGAAAAGGAGAAGTAAGTAAGTGAGCAAAGGGCTAAAAGTGTTCTTTTAATAGAATTTGGAGAGGGCACAACCCAAAGGAGATAGTTTCTATATAAGTCCATCATGGGAATCAGAGGTTGAAGATGCTCAGGTTGATGAAGCTTAAATTGAGCTTTCCCTTAAGGAGAGATAGCTGCCACCTGTAAAGATACAGAAGTGCAAAACATTAAAAAGTTACTCTGGCTGGGAATGGTGGCTCACACCTGTAATTCCAGCACATTGGGAGTCCGAGGTGGGCAGATCACCTGAGGTCAGGAGTTTGAGACCAGCCTGACCAACATGGAGAAACCCTCTCTCTACTAAAAATACAAAAAATTAGCCAGGCGTGGTGGCAAGTGCCTGTAATCCCACCTTTGGGAGGCTGAAGCAGGAGAATCACTTGAACCTGGGAGGCAGAGGTTGCGGTGTGCTGAGATCACGCCATTGCACTGTTGCACTCCAGCCTAGGCAACAGGAGAGGAACTCCATCTCAAAAAAAGAAAAATAAAAAGTTATCCTGGTCAGTAAGGGTAGAGTAGAAGCAAGGACTTTGTGGTCAGATGTGGGTTTGTTTCTGGCTAGTGGTTTGTAACCCCTAGGCAAATTACTTAATCTTGCTAAACCCTAGTTTCCTCATCTGTAAAGCCAGGATGGTAATAACACCTCCCTCAGAGTTTTAATTTATTTTACAATTCACATGTTGGGTACCTTTTCAGGGACTGGGAAGACGGCAATGAACAGCGCAAGTCTGAATGAGGAAGGTAGGACCAGGTCATGAAGATATGCCACGAGTTAACAAAGACACTGTCAAAATAGCTAGGATAGCAAGTAATTAAAATAAAATCCAGGGCTCCATTTTACCTGAAAAGTAATACACAATAAGAATTATTTTAGGTGAATAGGTTAAGAATGAGTTTGTACTGCTCCAGGTGCAGTGGTATTTACAACTAATTGATCACAACTAGTTATAGGTTCTTTGTTTCTTCTTCACTTTCACTGTTTCACTTAACTAGCTTAAAAAAAAAAAAGGCCAGTGTGGTGGCTCATGCCTGTTATCCAGCACTTTGGGAGGTCAAAGTGGGAGGATCACTTTAGCTTAAGAGAGACAAGCCTGGGAACATAATGAGACCTCGTCTATACAAAAAATTGAAAAAAATACAACTAGCTGGGTGTAATGGCGTACTTGTAGTCCTTGCTACTTGAAAGGCTGAGGTGGGAGGATCACATGAGCCCAGTATTTGAGGCTGCAGGGAGCCATGATTGCACCACTGCACTCCAGCCTGGGTGAACAGAGTAAAATGCTGCAAATAAATAAATAAATAAATAAGAGATGGAATCTTGCTCTGTTGCTCACTCAGCTAAAGTGCAGTGGTGCAATCTGGGCTCACTGCAGTCTCTACCTCCCAGGTTTTTTTTTTTTTTTTTTTTTAGACGGAGTTTCACTCATGTTACCCAGGCTGGAGTGCAATGGCGCGATCTTGGCTCACCGCAACCTCCGCCTCCTGGGTTCAGGCAATTCTCCTGCCTCAGCCTCCTGAGTAGCTGGGATTACAGGCACGCACCACCATGCCCAGCTAATTTTTTGTATTTTTAGTAGAGACGGGGTTTCACCGTGTTGACCAGGATGGTCTCGATCTCTTGACCTCGTGATCCACCCGCCTCGGCCTCCCAAAGTGCTGGGATTACAGGCTTGAGCCACCGCGCCCGGCCTCTACCTCCCAGGTTTAAGCAATTCTCCTGCCTCAGCCTCCCGAGTAGCTGGGATTACAGGCATGTGCCACCCCACCCAGCTAATTTTTTGTCTTTTTAGTAGAGACAGAGTTTCACTATGTTGGCCAGGCTGGTCTCGAACTCCTGACCTCATGATCCACCCGCCTTGGCCTCCCAAAGTGCTGCGATTGCAGGCATGAGCCATGGTGTCTCACCAATATTATTTTATTTCAGTGCAATCATGGCTTTGTTCACCGCTTGGCCAGTTCTTAAATTTTGCATTTCGTTTCTTATTTCTGGTTTTTCCTCTTCCTTACTTATTACTCAGAACCTTAAAACTTGCCATTAAGTGTGTGTTTATAGTTTTGGCTAGCTGAATTTAGCATTGATATTAAGACATGTGCAGATTAAATGACATTTATATTAATAATGCAGATTGTAGGCCAGGTGCTATGGTTTATGCTGTAGTTCCAGGACTTAGGAGGCCCAGGCAAGAGGATTGCTGGAGCTCAAAGGTTCAAGACCAGCCTGGGCAACATGGTGAGACCCTATCTCTACAAAAT